GTATATATTCTTTGCACATGTCATAAACAAATATGCAATAGATAATATATATAAATTAATATATTTGGTATGTATGGTTTATAATTTCTTAATAGAAAGTAATACACATGTGCATACAGGATACAGTGTAAATTTGAAGAACAATAAAGAAAAAACTTTTACTCATGTTTGTGGTACCTGAACTGTTTCTCAGGCTGAGATGGTCCCAGAAACTTATTTATCATAAATAATTGATGTTTTCCTACATAGAATCAAATCATGCTTAACACTAATATATTTTTAGATACTGCCATAGACGTTTTTGCATACATATGTGATAAATATTGGTTTAGGCTTAGATATTCAGCTTTATCTCAAAAGTCAAAACACAAATATTGCCTTCACTGCAATTTTTATACCCAGTGCCATAGTTTGAGCTGCTCAAGTGTAATTGGATCATTGCTACATAACCTGTTTCACTGACAGCTGTGGGTTGTTTCTTCATTCCTTCTTCCTAAGTAGATTAAAAAATAAAAAAGTTTTGGAGATGATTTCAAGTGTGGTACATGCATTTGGGAGCTATGAACCCACAACATGTGTTTGAAAGAGCTCTCATTTCAAGTGAAACAAGCTATCCTTGAGATCCATTTAAAAAAAATGCAGTACTGGTGAGCTTTGCTCAGTATTACAGTATTGCAATGGGCCCTTTTTATCATTGTGTTAATTTGTTCATTTGACAATCTGAAAATAATAAATAAAACTGAATAATATATATATAATATATTTTTTAACCCCAAATTCATCATTTAACTTCAATAAGCTTAAATAAATACTAAAAAAATAAGCCAGTGTCCCAAAACATACGGAGAAAATTATATACAGTATAAATTAAAACAATGTTGATACAGATTTATGTATATTTAATGGTTTAATTAATGTCTATGAAGAATATTAGGTGATCTAAAACAAGTGAATTAAAAAAAACACACGCATAGCTTTAGGGTTGATACAGTTGACATTGCCCTGGGGATATTTTCTAACTTTCTTACTCATACTGCATACAATATGAAATATGTATACCGAATTTAAATTTGCAGCATTAAATATGACAAAACATATGGAGTTGTTTTATGTCACAGTTTACTTGAAACAGTAACTTGCATTTTAAAAACTTTCAGACAGTAGCATCATCACTAACCCAATAGCCAATAAACAATAAAACTGATGCTATTTACAAACTAATTTATTTATACTGCCATCTGTATATATTAAAATTATAATTTTCTATCATTTGCATAAAGTGGTAGCTGGTAATACTGAACAAATAAACAATAAAGACATGAAACAAGTGAAATTTCAGTAGCTATGATTGGCATTTTCAAAAACAGCAGCCCACACAGAAGTAATGTATATATTTCTTTGGCCATACAGAATTGGGAGTGAAAATTTTGTTTTTCTAACATGCAAACAAAGTTAGGATAAAATTACAAACAATAAATCCTGTGTATCATATTTCTTAAGCTTAGTGGGCAGACTTAGTACACACACTAACCTGTGCAGGATTCTCCCACTTTTTGAGGAAGTCCTCTTTGGCTTTAGCAAGGAATTCCTTGACTGTGGAAAAAACACACACCAGTGTTTACATAAGAAAGGCTTTAGTGGGGCATCTGTGTGTATACAGAAAGTGAAAAAACAGCAAAATAAAGAAACAGAACACCTACTTTATTGTCTGAAGTCAACAGCACAGAGTCTGACTAAAAATTGTTAATTAAATCAAATTTTATTCATATCCATCGTAAAACCACCTGCTCATAACTATTACTCACAAAGACCCAGAGGCTACATGGATGATTTGTCAGTGTGTAGAAAGTTTTGAGA